TTTTGTTGGATGTGCTCTGCTTTTTTGTTTTTTTTAGATACATTTTACTTAATATAGGTTTTTAGAGGAGTTTTAAATGTCTGCAGTGAGATTCTGGACACATTTAATCATTTTCTGGACCTTCTGGTCATGAAAAGGGATGATGACGGAAGAAGAGAGAAGTCAGAAGTTTCTGTGAATTCATCTTCTGGTCATCATCTCAGTGTGAAACCCCCAGCCTGTTTTTGTCACCTTGATGAAAGACATGAAAAAAACAAACTTAGAGAAGACAAGGTTTTACAACTTTAGAGCCATGGCCTTGAATATTTGGGGAAAGAGAGAAAAGCTCTTTACACCCAGAGAAGAGTTGAAATTAACTAGAAAAATAAAGCAATAAGTTACCAAAATGAATATAATTTCGGCATCTACTTTTTTTTCTTTCAAATTTACATACCAGGTGTGTTTGATTTTGTGGTAAATAGTGACATCTAGTGATATGATAAAAATAAATGTCTCTGGGAAAAGTTCAGATGGGCCAAATTTTGGGCTATGAGTAAGGAGTGGTGCTGAAAATATGTTCAACTGACATTTCATCTTTTGACATAACGCTATTAAGAATATCTTGCATTTTAAGTGCTTCTTAACCCTTATACTTTATTTATTATATTATTTTTCTTAATAACTTTAAATCTTTCTCAGTTGTCTCCTGACAGGCTTTATATTTTGTCAAATTTTTCACATTTCTGTGCAGTAAGCATTTCTGCAGTGACTAATTTTTATTCAAATAAAAATTGGTTAATTGTTCTTAATCATATTATTTAATAATTAGATCTAATTTCTTCAGCGCTGTCAAAATACACACATTTTACATATATTTAACAAAATGTATGTATATGAATATACAATAATAGTGCTAATTAATGTTAAGTGTCCTGTTAATTTTATTAAGGCATTACTAATACACCATGTTAGTTACCCTAACCCATCATAAAACTTTCAAAATAAAATATTTTCTTATGTCCTCTTATAAATTTTGATCTCTTATTAAATTATTTCTATTTCAAATAAACATGTTAAGCTTTCAAATTAGGTTTAAAGTAATTAAGATGCAACTTAACAATTAGTGAGATTATAATATGAGGAATCAGACTCTTAGATCTTTTGCAACTTCTTTCATAATCTTCAATAATCTTTAAAGTTCTCTTTAATACTAATAAAGTATTCTCATTTGATAAATTGGATGTATTTAACATTTGGGTATTCATACTTCTCAACCACATCCACTTCTTCCTATTTCGTTCTAAGATCTGCAGTCATCTCCTTTGTTTGGTTGACATGGTTCAAATGATTGGTTCTGCACGATGCTGCTTTTGCCTAAATCCCACTCAGTTTAACATTAAAGTTTGCTATGACATATATGACGTTTAACTTGATGTATGTGTTATTTTAGACAGCGAAAAAATCTGCTATCCCGTTATACTTTATGTTCTTATTTTTTTTTTTTTATATGCTTTTGACTTGTACTATGGGCTGCTCAGTGGTAAAGTATGTAGCACTGCTGCCTTGCAGCAAGAAGGTTCTGGGTTCAATTCCCAGCCAGGGGTCTTTCTGCACAGGTTTTGCATGTTCTCCCTGAGCATGCTTGGGTTCTCTCCGGATACTCTGGCTTCCTCCCACAGTACAAAAACATGACTCTTAGGTTAATTGGCTTTTCTAAATTCTCCTTAGGTGTGAGTGTGTGGGTGAATGGTTGTTTGTCCTGTGTTTCTGTGATGGACTGGCGACCTGCCCAGGGTGTACCCTGCCTCTTGCCCATAGTGGGTGCACCAGCACCCCTCATGACCCCACTTGGGATAAGCATGACAGAAAACGGATGGATGGATTGACTTGTACTATGAAACAAGATACAATAACTAGTTGATCAACTTGCAGTTCCTCATAATTGACAGCAGATGTCAGCAAGATGTTGGAACCCTACATGTAAGATGTTTAATTTGTCTTACTCCACGTTATAAATCAACTTTTAAGCATCCTTGTATCCCGTGATTTTGTTAGGATCGTTAGTATGGAGGGATTGTAACATTTGAATTTAAAAAATGCATGAAATAAATAAATAAATAAATAAAAATTTTGGGGAGTAGGGGCCTAGAGGTTAGGGCATAGAGCTTGGAACCTTGAGGTTCTGAGTTGGAGCCCCACTCCCACAGACTGCCACTCTGGGTCCCCACGTGCACCATGATGGCAGCCCACTGCTCCCCAAGGGGATGGGTTAAATGCAGAGGTAAATTTCTCCAATGTGAGATCAATAAAGTTAAATTATCACTCAATAATAATAATAATACATTTTGATAAATTATTAATAAATATTCTATGAGCTAAAAAAATTTTCAACTATTTTAAATGAACAGGCATTCCGTGTCATTATATTTTAGTTGCACATGTGTGAATACATGCTTGAAAGAACATTATTGCTACACTTTTACATAGCTTGATCTGCAATAGCTATTCCATAAAAAATAAAATTTGCAGAGGAGCAGAATGATGCTGCCAGAGTCCCCACTACAACCAGGGGGAAAAAAGCCCACCAAACAATGTATTGCTTACAGAGAGCAATGCAATGTGTAAAAATCAGGAAAATCATTAAAACACAGTGTCCTTCACCTTTATTATGAACTGTGTTTCTTTGATTGTATTTTATTCATAGAGAATAAGACATCTCTTTGGATGCTTGAAAATTCATGGCATAATAATAATTTAAAAGCAGAATCTTTATTTATAAGGAGGAACGTTTGCAGCATAAAACACACGTTATGCATTATTATCCAACAGGCATCGCTCTAGTACCAATAGATGTAAAACTGAAAATTTTTAACTTGAGCTTTATTGATTAACACAATGGAGAAATTACCTGTCTGCATTTCACCAATCCTCTTAGGGCTGCCACTGTGTAGCGCCCAGGGAGCAATCTGCAATTAAGGGTCTTGCTCAGAGATACAGAGTGGCAGTCTGGTGAGAGTGGGTTTCGAACTGAAAACCTTAGGATTCCAAGCCCTATGCCCTAACCACTCAATTTATCCTCAAAATCAAAAAATTACCCACTCTATTTGCTTTTAGGAACAGGTAGGGAAAGAAAGTGAATCTACTAAAACCAGTTTCAAAACATGCAAAACAAATTATGGAGTTAATGACATGTCTCAATTATTGTTTCTGGTCAATCAAATAATGTTGCTCAAACCGGGACCCTTTTGATATGACTTATGGTTCTACTACAGGCTGTAAAAATTAGACCATGTCAATAATGTGTTGCTATGTCACAATGGGCTGTTCCAAACAGGTAAAGAGATGCTACTGTCCTTTGTCTTTGCTCTTGAGGGGAACACCTTAGAAAAATGGGCAGGATGTGGTGGCCGGTCTTCAACTCATGTTGATTCCCAATGTCCATGAAGTGTAGCCGGTCTCTATTATCAAGGTAGATATACATAAGGAAAAACTCAAATGTTCAGCTACCCCGACTTTAGAGAAAATGAAAGAAATCAAAGTGTATACTGGTCATTCCTTGGCAAAGATCTCAAATAGTCTCTCAAATATCTTATTGATTGTGCTTCTGACTTTAAATGCATGTCCATGCCTACATTGACAGAAAATAATATGACACAAATGGAAAGTCCTCCCCACCTCTCAATGAGATGAGCTGCATGTAATATTACATATTATTGAATTAAGGGTCAAAATGTGTGTTCAAATATTGGAAAATATACTTACATTATAGCAGGCATCCCCAAACTCGGTCCTCAAGGCCCCCTGTCCTGCAGGTTTTAGAGGTTTCCTTGCTCCAGCACAGCTGATTTTAATTGAAAGCTGATCAACAGGCTTTTGGTCTACTGCAATCATTATAACCAGCTGTGCTGAAGCAGAGAAACCTCTAAAACCTGCAGGACAGGGGGCCTTGAGGACCGAGTTTGGGGATGCCTGCATAAAGTTTTTTATTTCTAAAAATTTCAAAACATATTCTAATCATAATGGACATGTAAAATAAAAAAATTATCCCGCCCTATTGTATACCATATGAAAATAAGAAACACAAAGTTAGAGTAATTAATGAATTAAAGAGTTCAATGCAAAACAAAAAAAAATAAAAAATAAAAGACAGTTTATATTTCAAAGCTGTGAATATACACCCCCCCCTCCATTCATACAGACTTATATCGAATGCCTTTCATTACCTTCACACACAGACTTATCATTAATCAAACAGACCATCATCACCTTTAGCTGCTTTGGCACCTCATTTCAGGCTTAATCTACATTTCCTTATAGACATTTTTACATTTACTATGATAATAAATAATTTTGTATTTATTATTAATTCTTGTAGTTAACTAGTGTAATACATCTAGTCTGAAAATGAATACAAAAATGTAAAAAAAAAAAGAAAAAAAAAAAAAAGAAACCCTTGACAGAAAGATGGTTAAAGTGCGCATCTTTCGATAAACCCAATAGACAATCTTTGTCGCTGAACTGGTCTGAACCGGTCTCCGCTTCCTATGCAGATACTAAGAAAATCCATATTCAGAGATGTAAGATTAATATTTTGTATCGAAGTATGATTAGGAAAATACATTTATTTTACTTCTAATGAATTTCTTATATTTAAAGTGTATGATAAACTTGTAAAACTAACTTTTCTATGCTAGCTACAAGGTTGCTAACCTGTTAGCATATTTTACTCCAGATTAAGTACTGATAGATAGAATAGATAGAATGTATAAATTAGTTCAAGTAAAAAATACAGTTAAATATTTTGTTTTAGATATGAAGAACTAATTTTTCTAATCAAAAAACTTTGTTTTTACATTTTAAAGGTGTGAAAAGAGCAACTGTTTTCCAACTAAACTCTTCTCTGCTATCCGATTTAAAGCGTTTGACTATGTGTTCGAGGTGAGTCTTGTCTTTTTAAAGTGAACTTTCTGCCTTGGAGGTGAGATTTAAGGTTTCATATTTGTAAACCCCTTTTTAGACAAGCACCAATATGAAGGCTTTCATGGACGTGCTGGAGCTGCCTCCACCTTATCTAACTGTTACCAGTGATCTGTATCCCCACAGTGGGAGGCTTCCTGATGTCACCTACAGGAAACCATGGATCCGAGGTAAAGATACACACATTTAGATAATTATGAATGGATATATGTGTGCCTGCAAAACATACTGGAAGTGTATTGTCCTCTAAATATTTGTTTGTACAATAAAAATATTGGGAAAGAACTGCTTAGTATATGTTGTGAATTTAGGAAACTTTGGATCTCGTTTTGTAACTCACAGTGTATGTGTTGCTGTTCATGTGTTTACTGTTCATTAGTTGATTTAAGACAATTTGTGAATAAATATACAAGTTATTGTAATTCATATGGTGTTAATGTAAGTTAAAATGCATTTAAATATTATCAGGTACAAAGAAAACATATGAATACAATAACTTGATTATTTATTCACAAATTGTCTTAAATCAACAAATGAACAGTAAACACATGAACAGCAACACGTACAAGAAAACTTATATGATTTTGTACACACAGGACTAATTAAACTTATGTAAAGCAACCAAGTTAGACTAACTTTAATCAGCAAATTAACAATGTTATATGTCAAAGGTCTTCAACAGGGGTCCGCGACCCCTAGGGGGTCCACGGAGGTACTGAATGGGGGTTGCGAAAGTCTTGGTTGATAGACTTTTTGTTTTTATATCCCCCCCTTGCACTAATTGAAATGTCTTTAAATAGACATTAACATGAATTCAACAGACTGTAGAAAACAGACGAATGGAGGCAGAAGATGTCTTTCAGTCATTAATGCACACATTTAGCGACACACAGGAGCTTGTTCAAGCTGGGCAACGTTTCATTCACAACACCTGTCCCATCAGAATCAGAAATACTTTAATGATCCCAGAGAGAAATTACTTCTGTTACATTACTCCATGTGTAATAGAGTGACTATAGGACCAGTTTGATATAACACAATATATAATTAGCGGTCCCCGCTCCATTTCGCCATCAGTTTGGGGGTCCTTGGTCTGGAAAACTTTGAACATCCCAGTTATATGTTAGCACTGATTAATTCTGATATTATTATAATAAATAAGAATTTGCTTTTTCTTTTGGTTCATAGCACACTTCTATACCATTTCTCTATCGATGAATTTCTGCCTTAACTGTGTTTCACAAGTCGTTAATAGTGCTCACTGGTCTTGCATATTATTTAAATAATGTATCTTTAAAACTGCACTGTTCTGGATTTGTAATCAAAAGATATTTATGCATCACAAAATGTTTAATATTTTTAAAAGTTGAGGTAGTGATTGAACTTTTGTCTGATATTTATCTTTTTTTATCTTCTTGAGAGGAACTTTAGCCCAGTTAACAATGGGGCATCTAGTATCTGTGGTGGAAACTTTTTATTTATATAAATAAATAATTTCTAAATTATAAATGTTATAAGTGTGTGGTATTATTTTAGCAATTTGGGGGAAAATAATAAAACTGTTATCATAAATTTACACCAGTGTTATGCTCACAGAGAAGAAGAGAAAAACCACAACAGTCTGCCGCTGCAACTGCAGGTATTTTGTTAAAAATAAATCTGGAAGCATTTTGAATGGAACATCTTACCTTTTTGACAAAAGAGGAGAATTCCCAGTATAGACCTGAACTCCCTACTGATTGAAGTGCAGTAAACTCTGAGTTTTAGGTAAAATATGAATTAATACTTAAAATTATTTTACATAGCTTATATTTCTCAGATTCAAGTATACTAAGGGTTTAGAATATCTTCCCAGTTTCTTCTACAGTTTTTTAGGAATTTTTATATATAAACTTACTTACTGTATGTAAATAAGTAAATAAGTATAATTCAGTTCATCTGGGTCACATGGGTGAAAGACGGCATACAGCCTGGATAGGTCGCTGGTGAAACACAAAGCTGCTTTTGTTCCAAATGTTTAGAAAGTATGCCTTTTTTTAAAGCTGTTGGAGATCTGCCTGTTTTCCAGTGTAGTCCTGTTTCTCTAACTGGGACTGGCTGGATGTGCTCTCTTCATTCTCTGACATGGGAGTTGGCTTGGAGCTCGTCTGCCTGGCTGTGTGTTTTTTGGACGGGGCCGCCTTTTACAGTTGCCTTATTTATCTCTGCTTCTTTTTGTATCTCTGCTTCTGTCTCCCTAAACCCCAGTCGGCCTCAGCAGATGGCCGCTCACACTGAGCCTGGTTCTGCTGGAGGTTTCTTTCTGTTAAAAGGGAGTTTTTCCTCTCCACTATCGCTACAAGCTTGCTTAGCGTGAGGGATTTATTGCTGTTTGAGTAAAAGAAGAATACTAGATTGATAAGGAGTGTATTAAAGCTACAGTGTGTAATAATTACAGGGATATACAGTCAGAAATGTAATATATTATACATAACTATGTTCTTTATCATCATCTAGGAGCTCAGCCTCTTAACCTTAATATTTGCGTTGCCTTAGAATTCGTTATTTATAATTACATAGGAGCGGGTCTCGCAGCCATGGAGGCAGACATCTTTGCGCTACGGCCAACAAACTAGCGATTGCGAGATCGCCAAAACGTCACAACGATGTAGAAAAAATAACGGGTATATTTCTTATCTTAAGTCTACATGAAATCTATACCCTACACAGACTAATGAAATACTGTCTGTAAAATTATCTATGTAAACAAACCTCATCACTTGAGAAGGTAGGTGATGCGGACGTCGTGGAAGACATTTTGTCCCGTAACGCTCGCCGTACTGTTGGGGGGGAGAAGCGGTGGGGGGGGGGGGGGGGGGGGGGGGGGGATGTTCATGTTGCTGCAGTCTGCAGTCTGGACGTTAGATGTCGCTAAAAGTTACACACTGTAGCTTTAAGGGTAGTGGTACTAATATATACTGAAGACATCCATAGTAGTAAAATGTCTTCCAATCAAGTGGACAGATTAATAAAGAATAACAATTCAATTCAGTTTATTTCTATAGTGCCAAATTCACAACACATGTCATCTCAAGGCACTTTACAGTTCAACCAGATCATACAGTCAAATTGATACAAAGTTTTCTATCTAAGGAAAACCAGTTGATTGCATTGACTCAAATACAATCCCTCACACTAAGCATGCTTGTAGCGACAGTGGAGAGGAAAAACAGTTTGATGTTTAAAATCAGAGTAACATCTAAGAAACAAAAGTAAATTTGTTCTTTACTTTTACTGCCAAAAAATCTCCATCTTTGCTTATTTTTAGTAAAATGCTTGCAAGGGTTTAGAAAAAAATTGCAAGAATTACTGTGTTTATTTCATTCCTAATCTAATGTGTTGTTCTGTCATTTGTGTTTACAGGAGAGGTGTTTTCTTCCTGCCAACTCTTTATCAGTTGTTCGGTTCTAGATGACCTTGGTGGAAATAATGAAATAGGGAACTCACTGGAAAGGTTTAAACCATTTAAATGGTACATTTTCATCACAGTGATTTTTGAAGATATTAAACATTTTTTTTTTCCAGATTTACTGTAGAAAAGGATATGGAGACAGTCTCCAGCTCTAATCCTGACTCCCTGGACCAGGATCAGTATGTTTTCCTTCTCAAACACCCGATTGAAGATACATGTCAGGAAATATTTTCTAAGTGTACAACTGACCAACAGGGTCCAGAAAGTAAAGGTAAATAATCATTTTTCATTTTTCTCTTCTCTATCTTTTTGCAACATATATTCATCTGTTTTACTCTTCCAAACCTGTTTACATCCATAGATCTCTTTCTTTCTGAGGAGATCATAGCTCCAGATTTGCTGTCGCAGTTAAAAAGACATGTACCCTCTCTGGAAGCCACACTGTCCAGACTTAAAACGCTTCCCGTCGCCGACCCTCTGCTGAACTCAGCAGGAATCGCCATCTCTGAGGACTCTATGTTCAGGTTTATTTCTGATCAAAGTCCTAAAGGTATAGTGGAGGACATTCTTTTTTCCGTGTGGTTCGTCAAAATAAGTGGTCCTCCAAATTGTCAATCATTCTGGTGATATGTTTCTGTAAGTCTGTCCTATATGCTTGTCCCCATTTTCACTTACCTGTGGTGAGTCTGAGTGGAAAAATTGCAAATCTTCTTTTGGAAAGTAAGCTTGTATGAGCAATAAGAACAGCATCTTTTAAACAGCGTGGAAGAGGAGAAATGGGCTGATGCATGCTCTCACAGACGTTTATTAGGCGTCCCCCCCTCAGAAGCAGTAACAGGGATGTGCATGTGCATTTTTTTAAGGTGGAGAGGGTGGATCTTTTCAAAAATTCATGAATATCCTTCTCTATACCATTAACTACTTCTTGAAAGCGGCTCTAGAATACAGATTTCTGTCTCTAAATATCAATGATACCAGAATTCTGTTTGATCACAGCTGCTTCGGACGATGCGCATCCTATCAGAAACCTCCAGGTGACAACATCAACAAAAACACGTATGGAGATGTTCAGGAGGAGTTTGTTCAACAACCACTCTTAGAGACAGAGGTACATTACTTAATATAAATATTCATATCCTTATACTTTCTAATATAAACATAAGAAATTGTTAAGTTTATAGGGCTTAATCCATGGCTAAGTTAAATTATAAGCCACTTAGGATTAATAGTTATTCCATATACTTTCCATTTCTGGATGATAGATTAAACTGTGTTCATCAGGTTTGGTGGGTATTTGTAGAAGACCCGAACACAGAGACAGAAGTAGGTTCTTGTAGGTTTTATGATGAGGTTGGTGTCAACAGATGCATAAATCTAGACTAAACTGACAGGGAACTTAGAAATATATAGTATGAGACACTTGGGAGAAACATACATTAAAAATGAAGATAATCCAGCAAAGAGGAACTGCAGAAGAGGGGTATATATATATGGGAGAAAGAAACAATAAATGGACTAATCAGCTGATAAGGAGCAGGTGTGGATAAGAGCAACGAAAAATGCGCTAAGGGGAAAGAAAAAGAAAGACACAATGGAGCAACAAAAAAAGCTTACAACTAAGACTAGACCCATAAATAAATAATACCAAATATGCTAAAAGAGGTAACTGAAAGAAATAACAAGGGAGAGAAAAACTATGAATTAAGGAAAAATATAAATCTTGACAAACACAGAATAACATAAAATAAAGCATAACTGAGAACCCAAAATGAAAACTTAAACAGAACCAGAAAGGGCAGAATCATTAAAGTGTTCTGGGGGATTTTCATTCTTTTACTACAAATTCCTGCCTTAAATGATCCTCAACTTTATTCTTGACCTGTCTGCTCTGTTTCTTGTTTTATTGTTTTTCCCTTTTTTCCTTAATGTTCTCTAAAGCAACACATGTGGCCTTGACTCTTATTAGGTGACTTATCAAGGCAGTCAGTAATGTGATAGTTTTTACTTTCCAAGTGTAAAGTAAAAGGGGCTTAATACAGTTGCCTGTTGCATCATTTTTCGGTCCACTTCTAGACTATACAGTCTTTGTTATACTGTAGTAAAACATAACATCCAGTAAGCATAGACTGTGATTAAGATTATAAGTTTCAGATCGTTTGGTTCTGTCTTTTCTCCAAATCTCTTCCCTGCAGTCTCTGCTGTTATCACCTGTAGTCGACCGTTTCCAGCTTAACCCTCAAAGCTACATGGCTTTTTGCAGTGTCAGCGGTTTTGTTAACAGTTCTCCAGAACCGCTGGACATGCAGTGTTCTGTCCTGGATCTGCTTCGCAGAAGTATGTAGGAGATTTACATTTTTTTTTCATCATATAAAAATTGAAAACAAAAATTAAGAAATGTTTCTCTCCTTTTTTATAGTGTCTTTTTCCAAGGTTTCAGTGGATATTTCTCAGTTTGATTCAAAACAAGAACAAAGAAAAGAAAACAGGTTAAGAGGAAAACTTGCTGAGTTACAAAGCCCAGGTAGAGGTTCTAAATACGCACAAAAAAACCTGCAGTCTGGAATGTAACAGCGATGGGGCTAAATTTCTTTCTTTAATTGTTTTTAAGAGGATATTGTGTCTCCAGCTGGAACAGAACTGGACCTCATTCTCAGTCCAATTCCTAAGCAGAAGCAAGCCTACATCAATATGTCCACATCTCATCTCCAGAGAGAAGAGTTGCCTCCGTTTAGTCCTATGTGAGAAAACTTTTCAGCTTTTGTTTAAACACCAAACGATAAACAAAAACCCCTCAGTAAATGTAAATGCTGTCCAGATAAGGCAACACTTCATCATACAGCTGCTGCAGGAGGTAAAACACCTCCTGCAGAAGCTGTATGAGGAAGTGTTGCCCTCTGTAAGAATACAGGCAGGTGTAAACAAACAGAAAACAAAGTACACCATGTAGTGTGTTTTTTTTTTCTCTCCTTGTTTTGGTGTATTTCTGAGTTTGTGTTTTTTAAAAAAAAAAAGTAAAAATCTGTGATTTTCTTGTAGATCTTTGCTGCCGACAGAAACTCAGACTAAAATGAATAAAACTGTTTGGAACTCGGAGAAGCATCTGACCTCTGTTATGCGTTTCCTGTTGTCAGGTAATAAACATCGGCATCATTCATTAAAATACTGCTTCAGAATAGACACAGAAATGAAAAGCATCACTTAGAGAAAAAAAATGAAATGCAAAGTAAGGAAGCATACAGAGGATTCATGGTTGACTTTACATCTATGCTAAACCACAGTCCTGTAATAGCAGAGGGCATGAGTTGCTCAGCTTTACTAAATATCTTCACTGTATTCATCCAAAGCTGTTTGGGTTTTATCTGCTCTAGTTAGTGAGAACTGAAAGTGTGTTTCAATGTATTTTGTAGCTGCTTTGTGGTATGTTTAGCATCAAATGAGATGAGTGCAGGTGTCAGATTTGTTTTAGTGAATTCAGAAATCTGGGGAACTTTCTGGAACATTTATTTCTTGAAGGGTTATCAAAAGTATCGATACACAAACATTGTATCCTGATACAATGCTAATGGTGTCGATACTGAAGACAAGTGTGGTCTGCATGTTTTGGCTTTTGTTAATTTTAAGTTTCTGGTTTATTTATTTTGCACTTTTATTTAACTAGCATCTGTAATCCTTTAGAAAGGATGTTTGTTTGCGAAATTGAAAAAGGATTTTTTTCCAAGTTAAAATTTAGCTAATCTTAGTGTTTGTTTTTTCTCCCTGGATATTGATATTGACTTTAAAATGGTGGTATCGTAACAAAAAAACCAAAACAGTACTCTGTACTTTCTCTTTCAGTTGAGGCCTTGATTCTAAATAGATTTTACTGCCGACATATATTAAAAAATCTAAAAATTTTCTTGAGCTAAATTCGATTGTTCTTTGGAAATGTTTCATCCCTCAGATTTCTTTTAATGGATTATATCACCTGATTAATTCATCCACATAATTTCTATCAAATAGATCCTAACATTTAGTACTGCCTGTCCTTCTGTCACCTTTTGGACAGAATCTTCTTTAATCTACTAACGATTTCCCAAACTCTCCTATACTTCTTTCCCAGAGCTGTCTGTATATGAACCATCTGTTGGTTTTCAGCCTGTGCCTGAAGCGCTGGGATTTATTAAATTACAAAAACAAAGCTTCAGCTGTGACAATGACCTACTGGATTTACATATGGAGCCAGGAACACCAGAGATAGTTCTGGGTAAACATCTAGAATTCGTCGAGAGGATTATGTCTGAGGTTCCTTCCAACAAACAGGTGGAAAAGGAAGACTTCAGAAGAATGTTCCCTGAAGATGAGCAGGGAGAGAATCTGATTAGAGGTATTTTTAGACATTTTCCTTCAGAATTGCAGTTAAATAAAACACGTATTTTGGTCATAAACACAATTTTTTATAATGTTTTCAGCCAATATCCAGAAATGTACAAGGCGGAGGTTTATATTTGATATATTTCTTGTGTTCTCAGTTGACTTTTCTAGTGTGGATTCTCCAAACAAAACCAATCTTCAAAAAGAAGCATATGTTGATTCATCTCAGAGCTCGTTCTCAGCAAACATTGCTGCTACAAGCAGTCATGAACAAAGTTCTGCCATTTTCACCAGCAGAGTCGAAGACAGGGACTCAGATAAGAGACCTTCAGAATCTGCTGTTGGTTCATCTGCTTTTAAAAACAGCAGCAGCATCGACACGCAGTTTAAGACCCAGCAGAGCTCTAACAGCTCTGAGCTGACTTTGTCCACTGGATCAATTATCAGAGATAATCAGAGGAATTTGATGCTTAATAACCTCGACCCGCTGTCTGCCTTTATGATGCTGAGGTCTCAGCAGGTACTTTTAGTTGGTGCAACGTCTTCAAGTTCAAGCATCTCTGCAGGTACAGACATTTTTCTGCTTCTTTTTCTTCTTAAGATAATGATTAAAGATGCACGGGTTTTCAGTTTCTATAGATAAGAAATAAGATCATAATAAGAAGGAAACTTCTTATTATCTCCCCATATTGGGAATAAGAAGGAAACTTCTAAACTATTTTGTATCCATTGGCGACAAACTAGAATAGATGGAACAGAAAATCCCTTTATTGTCCCACAATGGGGTAATTGTGTTTACAGCAGCAAAAGGTTATAGCAGAAGTAGTCACACCATGTGAACCTTAGAAATGTGTATAAGAATAACAGATGATAAATAATGTACTGTACAGTGTTTTTACAATATAATATCTTGAGAATGACTAATCAATAAACAGCTGTGGACATTTTTACAGTAATGGTATGTAGAAAATAGCAGTGACACCAGAGTTATGCAAAAAAAAAAAAATGACGTTATTTAACTGAGTAAAACAGAAACTGCTAAAATCAGCAGGAATGTAACAACTTATGAGGTTGTTGGGAAAAAATATGGTTTTAAAGTCTTCCAGCTGCTGGGAGGAAGGATCTGAGATAACGCTGCCTGGTGCATTTAATCTTTAGCAGTCTGTCATTGACCGAGCTGTACAGTCAAGCAACTGCTTCATGTGTGGAGTAGGAGACATTATCCAACAGAGATGTTAATTTAGTTAGGATCATTTTGTTCCCCACCTCCTGCACTGATTCCAGAGGGCATCCAATCACAGAGCTGGTTAAATGTAGAAACAGGAAGTAGTGACAAATAATGATTGACTGTATTACCAGAAATTCTTACAAATTAATTTATTAGTCACTTTTTAAGCTCCTCATAGCCTGTAATCATTTTGGCACATGACTCTTAGCCAATGGGCCTTCCAATGGGAGAATGACCCAAATCACAACTCAGAACTTTTTTTGAACATCTTCAACCCTTTTAAAAACATATTTCAAAGCTAAGTCTGAAAAAGGGAACCAGTTTTAACACAATACCAATTTTATACAGTAAATCTCTATGAAGGAAGTGCATTTTAAAATGGCACCTCTGATTCCATGTTAGTGTGGGGTTTGTTTATTTCTGGGCCTTTATGTACAGTTCTGACTTGTTTAGATTGGAAAAACTAAAAACAGTAAATATGCTCAGTTTTCTGCCAAATATTTGTGAAGATTCTCAGTCCTCTGGGTCATGGTCAAGCTTGAAAAAGTTCAGTCTAGGCAACTGGATGTAAATTTTTCTAGAAGACTTTTCGCCTCTCTTAATCTTGGTGCTTCCCACCACTAGTTAGAACTGAAGAAGCCTCTAAGATGAAAGGGGAAACATCTTCTAGAAAACTTCACGTCCAGTTACCTAGACTGAGTTTTTTTCAAGCTTTTCTGGTAAATCTAAACCTTTAGGTAAAATTTCCCCCCTGCTTTTTGTGACAGCAGCAGAGATGAATCATCCATCACCAGAGAAGGAGCAGCAGCCACCTCCAGAACAGATAAGGAGCACAGACAGGAGGCCTGCATACATGAGCATCGCTGTGGTAGGAGATGCTTTTAGAGAGCAGAACCCTGCTGCTCAGCTCGAGGGTCGCTCTGTCTGTGACTCAAACCCTGAGGAGAAACATCACAGCCGAGTCATTCAGGTTCAGCCTACAGGTGCATATTTATTATTCTTCAACTTTTTCTAAAATCTTTCATTAGATGTAATTTAATCCCAAGGAATGTCTTTGTTTTAAAAAAGTTATTGCAGCACTCCATCCTGCTAATCATTGATATCATAGACATCATCCTTTAAAGATGACTTTCTCTTTTGCTGATTGATCGTAAGATCAAACTAAACAAAGGAAACCTTTTCCTTAATGCTGATGCTTCCCTGCAGAAAGTCAGCAGCAGGCCTACAATGAGCTGCTGGCCTTTGCCCAGCCGTGCTTGAGTTCTGCCAGACAGCTGGGGCTCAACTTCCCCTCGTGGGGAGACTTCAGCTGCTTGGCCCCGGACCAAACTCATTTCCTGCTGAAGCAGCAGGAGAGGGCCCTCTGCAGGACCCCAGCAGAGAGCACAGAGCTCATCCGGGGTACTGTGTGACCTGTCACAGTTTTCATTTGAATTCTATGGGGTCTGTTTCCTGATCTGTTTATTTCAAATTCACACTCCTGTTCTTATTTCTCCAGACCAGGAGCAGCTTTGTAACCTGGTTGCCCTCATCCATGTGTTAGTGACATTCAAAGAGCTGCTGCTGAAGTGTGACCTGAGCATAGCTGTGGGTAAGTAGGAACTGATGTCTCCTGCTGTTTCCCTTTAAAGCAACTTTATTCCAGTAGTTTTTGGTTTGAGTTAATTAGATGTAAAAATGTTGAAAGCCTGCTGAGATCTTTTACTAGCGTCCACACATTTAAGCCACAGTCAGATACAGGGATAAAGATAGAAAGAAACTACAAAGAAAATGACAGATTTTTCTTTTTGTAGCTTTTCCTGGTTTTGTAATTCCAAATTACTCATATGATGAAGTGAAAGTCAGTATATGTCATCTGATGTTTTCTATGATGCTTCTCCTGATCAAGAGTACCTGACGAAAGCAGCTGAGGCGTGCGTGGATCAAAGCCTGATGAAGCTGCTGAGGAGGCTGCAGATCATCCTCTTCCTCAGCCAGAAGGAAGAATCCAACTTCAAACTGCTGGAACTTCAGCAGCTTTTGGCTGAATGGCTTGGAGGCAGAAAAGGAAACAACAATGCAGAGAAAGTCAGTTTTCTCAACTGCACACATAGTTTTCTAACAATAGCGCTTTTAACTCTTGGAATTTGCTACATTTGGTCACATTAGAGCCTCAAACATGATCATATCCTATAAGAATAGAAAAAACACTACAAGTCTAGACTTTGCAGCAGGATGGCATTAGAGTAGGGTGTTTGCAGTTTGTCAAATGTCATCTAGGGGGCACCACAAACACGTGGAACATTTCTGACCTATGGGCATTATGTGTAGAGGTAAAACTATCATTGGACCTCCTTACAGGGAAACAGAGTGGTAAAAGCAGTATGCTGTGGGGATGATTTTCTTTAGAAGGGATTGGAAAGCTGCTCAGAGCTAATGTTAAGAAGCATAGAATGAAATACAGGAAAGTCTGGGAAGTGAAGTTAGGAGCTGCAAAAGTCCTGAGAGATGGATGGATTTCACCTTCCAGCAAGACAATAGGCATAAAGATACAACCAGAGCTGTGATAGAATAGATAAGCTTAAAGAGAATATTGTGTTAGGTTTATGTCCTGACTTTTATCTACATGAAAATTAACCATGAATGCTCTTTATCCAGTCTGATTGAGCTATTTCACAAAGAAAAATGAGCAAAAATGTCTCTCTCTAGTTAAACATAGCTGCTATAAAGTTAATTGAATAGGTCTGAAGCTGTAGAGAAAGGTGCCACTAAGAAGTTACCTGACTACAAATGTAATGTTCAACAAAAATGGTTTAGTTTTGATTTTGACTTCTAAAATGTAAACTAAACAGATTTTCTATCATATCAAATCTGAATAAAATTATGTGACAAAATGTGAAAACCTTTAAGGAGCTAAATTACTTTTCCAAGACGGTGTAATAATGAATGAATCCTCAGATATAAACTGTTTTCATGTTTCTCAGATGCTCATCATTCTCTCTGTGGAGTCTCATGAAACCAAATCTGTGATAATCAGCAACTTGAGTAAAGTTTGTGGTGAGAACTTTTTTTCCTTTATTTCTATAACTAACAGGCTCTCTGCAGCAATCAGCCTTAAAACCAAACGGTTCTGATAAAGTTCTGAGTTGAGTGTGTTTTCTTTGCTGCAGGAGCTGCTGTGAGATCGGTTTGTCCCGATGAGGCACAGAAGAAACTGAACGGTGCCAGTGTGGTCAGCCTGTAAGCATCTGTTCGCAGCAATCGCTGTTGTTTTTGATAGCCATCTCGCATTTTAGTCATTACTATATTGCATAGTTTTGGTCAGTTTTAGTCGGCTAAAACTTAAAAAAAGGTTTTAGTCTAGTTTTAGTCAGTTTTATGTTGCAAAAAAAAAGTTACCCTTCATAATTTTGAATAACAACCAGATTCTTTACCAGACTGACAGCTCTTGCCTAGATACTACAATAACAGGTTTTGGAATGATGGAATCATTGCTGTTGGGCAGAAAACTTTGATTTATAGAATATAAATAAACTGGTTTATGAATTAAAGCCCTACTTTATAAAAAAAAAAAAAAAATGTCTCAAAAGCTGTGAAAATAGCAGATCTAGTTCAACACATCATATTGGCTAATATAGCAGACAGACAAGCTATCAAAAGGTAGAATAAAGGAATGGTTAAGACATACAAAGTTTCCATTCAAAAGCAAATACTTACTGATCTACTATTAATTATCCATTACACACAGATCAATAAACTCTTCATTAGTAAAAAAAAAAAACTAAAACTTTCTTCTTGCTACTTTGGCAATTTTGGCTTTTTTTCTTAGAAATTGCACCAGGAATTATTGCTGCTCGGGGGTCAAATTAGATTTAAATTTGCAGGATTTTGATATTAAAAACAATGGAAAGAGAACCTACATAATTGCCTTACCTAAATTTAATGAATCTGCTTGCTAAAATGTTGACATATATTAAAGGAAACAGAAAATGTTTTATTGACTATACAAAGAAACATTTACAGCATATTTAAACAGAAATGAGAACAATGAGAGAAAAATATTCAAAATGTATGTGTGTATGCATATGCACTTTGGATATGATTTAGGGATTCCATTTGGTAGAAATTAAAGAAGGTTCAGCATCACCTCTTGTGAGCTGGAAGAAATAAAATCTTAATAGTTAGACAAAGGGATTTTTTACTCTTAGCAGAGGGTGATTAGCACCATAGTTTATTACCGTATTTTCACGACCATAAGGCGCACCGTACTAAAAGGCGCAGTCTCAGTTATGTGTGCCATTTCTGTATTTAACACACACATAAGGCGCACCGGACTATAGGGCACGGGTTATACAGTATATACCGGTACATATCCTCTACTACGTTTAAATACCTCTACTGCGTATTTAAAAATAGAGCGGGAGAAAAACTGAGTATGATTGTGCTTTATTCGTGTATTTATTACAAAGTATTAATCAAACCTGGGAGCTGGCCGTGAGACAGACACATCGCTGATGACACAGAGTGCTGTGATCACTCCTCTGAAACTGTTTATTGACGCATAAATTAACTTAAAATGCAGAAATCTGCCGGCAGAATATGTTCGCTTTTATTATCCTGGTGCCTGCAGTTTAGATTGTACCAGTTAGTCCTGACGCGTGGCTGAAGCAGCTTTGCAGCTCCAGCTGCGCGGTGCAAAAGTGTGTCTGACGCGTGTTGGGCGGCGCTATCCTATCCTTTCTTTGCCTTGCATCTATATTTGCTGTGATCAGTGGGAATAACGTAGTTTTAATATGTTTTTAAGTGGGAAAATCCACCTGAAAACCTAATTCAACAGCAGCCTCTGGCCGGGTCGCCTCCTCGCGGTTCACCGCAGCAGCTGGTAGGTGTTTTTTATCTAAATAATCTAAACTGCAGGCACCAGGATACTAAAAGCGAACATATTCTGTCGGCAGGTTTCAGCATTTTAAGTTAATTTAGGCGTTAATAACCTGTTTCAGAGGAGCGATCACAGCGCTCTGTGTCATTAGCGATGTGCCTGTCTCGCTGTCAGCTCCCAGATCAGCTTCTCTGATTGGTTGATGCGGCTGCTTCAGCTGCTCAGACGCGCTGTGCCTGCTGCTCAAAACGCACTGCGGGACCTTTTGCTGCGCCTTGATGCGCCTCAACCATTGACTTTGTATGTAAACTCGCTGCTTCTGCCACGCCTGCTGTGTCCGGTGTGAAAGCAGCATTACTTTGAACGGCCGGTTCACACCGATGTCGAGCGGTTGAAGTTCCTTAGTAAGACCACCGGGAATATCAGCAAGCACAGCGTTCATTTGTTTCACCATGTTTTTCACATCGGCCGTGAGATGGGCACGCATGAAGTCACAGATTAACAGCGATGGTGATGAGTGGAAAAAACCACCTGGTCTCCTTACATACACCTCCCTCAGCCACTCCTCATCTCCTCATTGAGGAGATGAGGAGTTCTGCATAAAGCACATACCTGTTCTTTTATACACAATCCACGCCCCACAAACGTCCGCAGTAACAACACACATAGGGCGCACCGCACTATAAGGGGCGCCGCACATTTTGAGGAAAAAAAACACGTTTATATGCGCCTTATAGTCGCGAAAATACGGTAAGTAGCAAGAGCACGAAGAGACATACTGCTGAGAGCGACCCGTCAGTGTGGAGCGTGAAGCACAGACTCTGAGCTACGCTTGTGCAAAAGCGCATTTCTGCACAAGCACATCTGGAAGCACATCGCTTTTTAGAGTTTAGCATGCAGTACTGGACCGTTATTTTCTCTCCTGCTGCTGCTGCCATGATCCATCTGTGGTCATGCAGAATGTCCAGCGCTTCATGGCAGGTGGGCAGCATAACCAAACAGGACACAGCAGCACGGCTGATACTGCTTGGCAGATTACAGCACAATGATGCATTTTAAATGTCTGACCAATCACTCACAAATTTTTTTTTTTTCTCGTCTCACTGACGAAAAGTCACACCTATGACCAGTCATGTTTTAGTCATCAAAGATCCATGTTTAGCTAATCAGTTTTTGTTATTGTCATTGTTAAAGGAAAGCTCTGTGTCTACACCTTGAAGCTTTCTCTCTCCAGTTTTTTTTTCCTGAAAAGAGATCACTCGGGACAAACTTTTTGAATAACACTTCATAACTTGTATTAAATAAACATGAGACATGACAACAGATTTTGATAGAATTTGTGTCTTATTCAGATCGGGAGAGGTTACTTTGGGATACAGAAGGCATCTACTTACAAACTGGGCTTACATGTACTTCTCAGGAAGGGGCCATGATTAACCATTGTGGCCATGATTAACCAAGAAGCATTGTCGACAACTCTAGTCTGCCACATCATAACATTTTACATCCTACATGTTTACAGATGAGGAGACATCCATGGCTGCAGCCTTAATAAAAATTACACTTTGTTCTTAGCTGAAGGACTCCACTCTCATTCCATTCCCAAATCTTTGCCACATATAGAATGAAGATTATAACTGTATATATCTGGAGCGAGGAACTGGCCTAATTAGACAAACTACTGGGGAAAACAACAATCAGCTAATATTAAGGTGTAATAAACTCACACATCATCAATGATAATTATCCCAACATCATCGTTGACGAAAACAAAACTGGCAGTAATTCCACCTTTCAAGGCCGCATTAATCTGAAAAACATACTAGAAGGTCTTTCTCCTGCTGTTCAACACAAGGATTATTTTTGAAACTTCTTTTTTCTTACGTTCTTAAGAAAACTGTACACTGTTCCTTGTATTTACGTTCTTTGATGATCTTGAATCTAACCTCAAACAGGCTAATTCTGCTCCTCTCGGTTGAAGCTTTTTTTACTATGAAAACTTGAACTAAAATACGGTGTGCTGAAGCATGGTTTTTGTTTGCTTCTCTTTGTGTCCTGTTTAATCAGCGTGTGTGACAGTGATTGTGTACTGGTGTTTGAGCAACATATCGGCCCTGACTTCCCCTGGAGCTGTTTCTCTCTCTTGGTGGAATATGACCATCCAGGCCAGTCCCCCTGGTTCACCGTCTGCAGTGAGAGGAGCATCAGACACCTTTCCTTCATCACTAGCTGCTCCAATGCCGGTCTGCTGCCATTGCAACAAAACCTATTCACCATCACATATGGATATTCTATTTTTCCTTTCCCCTCTAAATTTCTGTCTCTGTCTTTATAGATTCTGACAAAGTATTTTGGTCTCTGGAGGAAAAAGTCCCGTTTGTGTTGTTAGTGACTGAGGGGCTTCTGAAATCTCCTCTGCTGCTGCAAACACTTGAGTCAGGGTGAGCTTCATTTAGAGATACTAAAAAAAAACCATCTGCTTATCGCTGAATTCCTATTTCTAAACGACACCCTTCCTGGCTGATGACAGTGCTGTAAATGTTGTAATAATTTATATGGAAGTCATGGCCAAGTAAAGATTTCTTTGGAAGGACACTGAGTCTCAGGTTGTTCTGAGTAATCCAATAAGCATTTTGACAGTAAATGCAGAAGTGGGAATGCAATCATATTGCATGATTCATTGTGAAAATAAATGCCTTTAATAGTGCACATAATTTCAGATAAAAACCATATGGAGTGAATTTTGTTCCATTGTTGTTCCAAGCAAATAACACATTATGTAAATTGAAAATTTAAAGAAAGGCAATCCAGAAATGAAACTTTGAAAAATCTTTTTAAAATTTTTCAAAATTAGTTTTTACATTTCTATTTTATACTTTCAATATTTTGTTCAGATTGAGTTTTACGAATTGTACTCTTCAAATTGCATGTTAAGGATTGCTCAGTGGCGCATTGGGTAGCACAGCTGCCTTGCAGCAAGAAGATTCCGGGTTTGATTCCTGACCTGGGTCTTTCTGCATGGAATTTGCATGACATACTGTACCTTGAGCATGTGTGGGTTCTGTAGGTTAGTTGGCTTCTATAAATTCTCCTTAAGTGTGTGTGTGTGTGTGTGTGTGTGTGTGTGTGAGAACGGTTGTTTGTCCTGTGTGTCTCTGTGTTGCCCTGCGATGGACTGGCGACCTGTCCAGCGTGGATCTTGCCTGTAGACAGCTGGAGATAGGCACCAGCACCCCTCATGACCCCTGCAGGGATATGCATGTCAGAAAATGGATGGATGGAAATTGCATGTTACAGGGGGGGGGAGTTGGGATTTCCCTTCTAGTGAGGGGCAAAGACTTCCTCCATTATATTATGGTCCATGAGTTGTCATCATGAAACATTTGGGCTTGAAGTGAAAAGCATGGCATCTGTAAAAAGCAATGTGAAAAAAATATATTTGTAAAACTCAATCTGAAAAATTTAAATTTCCATCCATTTTTTTGTCACGCTTTATCCCTGCTGGGGTTGCAAGGGGTGCTGGTGCCTATCTCCAGCTGTCCACAGGCAGGGTACACCCTGGACAGGTTGCCAATCCATCGCAGGGCAACACAGAGACAAACAGAACAAACAGCCATTCATGCACACACACCTAAGGAGAATTTAGAGAAGCTAATTAACCTAACATTCATGATTTTGGACTGTGGGAGGAAGCCGGAGTACCTGGAGAGAACCAACACATGCTCATGGAGAACATGCAAACAACAAAATCTGTAAAAAAAAAAATAAATAAATAAATAATTAAATTAATGTAGAAAAAATTAGAAAAAAATTTAATGAAATCTGTAGAAACAGCACAGTTATTCTCAGAACCTTCTGTCTTGGAAATCAAAGCTATAAAATCCATGCAAAACCATGTAAGTCAGCCGCTGGAGCCATGAGAGCTCTTGGATCATGCAGCTGGGATTGCAGAGTCGAAGGGGGCTGGGTTTCTAAGCTTTCTAACCAATGATCATGTAAGCAGAGTTCTGTGCAGCTTGATGTTATCAGGCTTTTATATTTGTCACTTTTTAGCCATTAAAAAAATGTAATACTGAAAAAAAAATGGCTTTGGTTAGTGCTGCTTGTTTTCAGGTCCCATCTTGGAAACCTGGCCAGGGCTCTTCCTGCATGCAGTTTGCATGCTCTACCTGTGCACCCAGGGAAACATGCTATGGTATTTGGCCTCTAAATTCACCTTAGCTATGACTGTCTGTCTGCATACCTATATGTCCTACTTTGTTCTTTGATGGACTGGTTACCTGTTGAGAGTACACCACCTCTCACCCACTAATTTCTGGATATACTGTAGGTACCAACCCCCTGACAGTAGGTATCAATGATTGATGGATGGATTTCAATCAAAATACAAAGACTTTGTAGGCTTAAATTTGAATCATAAATGTGTTTAGAGAATTTAAAGTGCATTGTTTGCAGAGTTAAAAAAATAGTAAAAAATGCATTGGATTAAAAAATATCTGCAAAAGAAAAAGATCCAGAAATTTATGCCAGAAGCACATAAAAATAGAAATATTATATAAATGAGTAAATCCAAAGAGAAAGCACATAAATGTGTAAGGAATATCCTTAGGATCATGTAACTGCAAAAAAAATAATATAAAATTTTATTCAGGAATAAGAGCAGGCCTGAAAGTGATATTCACGATTATGCTAAAATTGTTTTGCTTCAGTCTTATTGTTAATTTAATTTTTATAGATTATAGAGTACAACCAAGGCTTTAACATAGAGGGTGTGTCACTGATGAGCATACTGTGGTGTTCATAAAGTGTCCATCTGCGTTACAGCTTTGGTGTAACTGTGTTGGAAAGGAGTCTCTGTCCCACACTGCAAAAACTCGGAGGGATCCACAGTTATGCTGTGATCACAGTGGATGAAAGCACCGCCATCATCATACAGGTATCAGGACTCATCAAGCCTCTGATACAGGGGTGCCCAACCGGTCGATCACGATCTACCAGTCGATCGCAGGCGGAGTTTCAGTCGGTCGCAAGAAGTTTTACAATGTAGACTTATTTATGGCTATGACAAAAAAAAAAAAAGTTTTAAAAAACACTAATCGAATAATTGATCACGAGAGGCCAAAGTGTATTTTCATAATAATAAAATGAAAAATAAAAAGTATGCAGGGAACCTTTTTTTATGCATACTGTTTATTCTCCACCTGTGCAAATAAAAAACAAATACTGCCCATCCCTTGTGTTTGGCTTGGTAGATCTCGGCATGCCATCAACTTCAAAAGTAGAAGGTTGGGCACCCCTGCTCTGGTACATTTAGCCTGATATAATTCAGTAGCACAGCAACGCCCCCTCTCAGACACTTAGATGGGTTTGGGAAGTCACAGGCTCACAAAAGAAGCCAGACTTGGACACAAAGTCCAGTGGGTTGTTTTTAATTTTCTTTTTTGGAAGTACCACAAATATGACCGTATTTACTCAAAGCTGAACTTTGAAACAGCTGAACTTTGGAGATCTATGATTCAATATCACAGGATTTATATAGTCACACTCTCACCCACAGACCATTATTAAACCTTCTGAGTTTAGTGAAAATGGTGAAGAACTCTGTTGTGAATTATGATTTTAACCAATAAAGCAATCTCCCTATTGTATTCTCCTAGTTGCTGCTATGAGGATAAAGTTCCAATAAAAAAAAAAAAATAACAGATTTAAATGAATTGACTGGCCAGTTAGTTCAAATCTGTCCTCACAGCCTAAATATTATATTTACTACCTGTTCTATGCAGTGGCCTGCAGTTCAGTGGGTTTTTGTGTGTCTGCAGGATCAGGATGAACTGGGTGATGATGGAGCCAGTGAGGGACTGGTGATAAGGCTGAGTGCTCTCTCTCTGCAATACAGCTGCTGTTGGCTAATCCTGCACTGCCCTGACAGTCAGAGTGGAGGGTCAGAGAAAACACAGACTTTATTAGGCTGATAAACAAAACCGCAAAGGTGGTGTTTTTTATATTTTCCTTGACACAGATCTTTTGGTGTTTACAGTAGTAAAGTGGCTTTGGTCACTAACTCTCCTGGCTCTCTGGAGGTGTTTCGTCTTTTCGTTGCTTCAATTACTGCATATTTTCAGATAATTATTTATGTCCCTTAAGTCATTAACTGAGCTATGAATCATTCACCCAAAGGTTTAACCATTATTAAGACTGCTTAATAAAATAATTCATTTAAACAGAAGCTTTAGATCATGATACTAGCAGCTGGTCATAAAGATACATTTTTTTCATCAGTTTAAATTGATTTATGACAAAAACACAGAATATAAAACTGTTTGACACATAAGTTTTTTCAATAAAAACAAGTGGTTCCCATAGAGAGTAGAATTAAATCTTACATAAAGATCTTGAACCCCAGGCTCTGTGTCTGGTCTGTAGGTCAGCCCAGGAATTTCCACATGTACTCTTCTCTATGATCCAAGCAGACATTTTTTAATGTGCCACTATGGTCTGAAATAAAGCTGAAAAGCTCAAAGAAAATATGGATTTGTAGATAAAAACTAAAGAAATTAGAAGTGGAGTAAAATTGTTGCACAGCAATACATTCTTTTACACATGTTGCACCTAAAGTGTGTGTGTTGGTGTGTTTGTGGAACTGCAGATTTTCAAGCAATGCCTTTAACAACTTGGTGTTGGTTTATTCGTCTCTGGTTCTGTTCGGCATGAAGTCAGAGGAACTGGAAGTAAAGGTAGAACACAAATGTTTCCTGTTTTTTTAGTAAAACAAACAAATTGAAAGGGACACTACAATATATCTTATTTGTACTCCAACTGGAGCAGTTTGTGTTTGTAATCTCGCGTCCTACACAGTAATAACACAGCGCTTACCTGTTAGTTGTCTGTTCTGCTTTTCAGGTTCTGATTGTAACAGAAGTTTTGGAAATGGCCCAATTTATTAAGCAGATCTGCTTCAAGACGCTGATGTCTAAAGACGGGGATCCTCTGATATACCTGGACAGAAACTGGCTGACTGTGAGCCCATCTCAGGTGACATTAAACGTCGATCTGCTGTAGTTTGTTGTTCCACCTTCTCTGGAAAAACTTGTTTTTATAAAGGTTTATCTTTAGTCTCAGTTTCTCCCTCATTAGAGACATATATCATTGTAGTAGAAGCAGTACATATTCCCACAGTGGTTATTATTCAGTAATATTTTTCACACATGCAATGTTTTTGAATATTAAGTATCTTTGCAGCTGTGACTGATATGTGCATCTTTGGGTTCAAATGTGAGGGAAAAATTACAAACAGAAACCATCAAAACCAAAATTGTATGATTTAACATGATTTATGTTCCTATAAAATATTTCTCTTTCATTTAGGAGGAGGAGTGTCTGTCTCAGTTTCCGTGCATAAACCCCCTGGTCAGTCAGCTCATGTTAAACCGAGCTCCATCCCTCCAGTGGCTCCTGGAGGCAGATCTGCATCAGCTGAAGAAGTTACTTCCTGAGATTCCTCATAAAGTCCTTAAGGTGATTTATGCATTATGTTTTTGTTAACTCAGGTTTTCAGACTGGAATAAATACAGATTCCAGGTAGTGGTGGTAAAATAATATTTTTCAGTCTGAAATAGAAATCACCAAATTAACTCCTGTCTGACAGACGAGTTCTGAGATACTGTATTATTAAAAGTGTGGATTTATTACAATATTTACCCATAATGTTGCAAACCTATTATTTTCTATAGCACAATGTAGTTACACTGTAATCTGCTGTTGGATTTTACATAGATAGCCTAATTTAAATGCTTTATGAAGTCATTAAGTAAAATTTACAAATTAGCTAATATATTAATCGATTAATCTTGTAATTCCTTAATTTACGCGGGGATAAAAAACTGCATACTGCCTTCAGATAAAGAATGCTACAATGTGCTTCATAAGTGGTTCAGATCACTGGAGGCTGTTTCTTTTGTTTATAGTTGTTCAGTGACATCACCTCCTTATACTCAAGGAATGCAGAGCCTACAGCCCCTCAGCCAACCATTAACAAGTCAGAACAACGCAGCGCGTCTGTTCAAAGTCTTGAAATGGTTGATGCTGGGTTTGAGTTCATGAGCTGTCTGCATCCAGAGCAGTTCAGCTGCGACCAAAACAGCAGCTTCCTATGTGAACCAATGAAGACAGACGACCTGTTTCCCATCTTTAAGCCAGACTCTTCGGACTTTCATTTTGACCTGAGTGGTTCCTTTGGGAGCCCAGGTTTTGACCTCCAGAAAAGCTGGACCAGCAGAGATCCATGCAAGGAGGAAAATGAGTTCCCTATGTGGAGAAGTAGAGCTGGAGCAGCAGGCAGAGTGGTCAAAAGATTGAATGAAATGTGGACGTCAAGAGACTCCCCAAATAACATAGACACAGCTGAAAGCCAAGTGATCCCGGGCCCTTCGTTAGGTTACAGCCCCTTCCTGCTGCAGCCAGCCAGCGGTCAGGCACTCCCCCGTCCCTTGATCTACACCAACCTCCAGCATCCTCAGAGCCAGCCCTTCAACTACAGTCAGAGCCCACCTGCAAGCATCATGTGGGATCAGAGCTACGATCTTATCTCTGGGAATGGAGGGACAGCAGCGTATTCCTCCTTTGGGCACAGGTTCTGGAAACGCGAGGAAAGGAAAAGGAGTGGAGATGCAGCTGGTCTGGTTGGACCAGGTGAGGGAAGCTCACATCGCATTTCTTTCGTTTTTCGTTACTTAAATAGGGATTTTTACACCGTATTTTTGCTTTGCAGTGCTGTCTCCACTGAAGAAGGGAAGGCTGAGCTATGAGAGGGTACCTGGGAGAAAAGATGGACAGACGAGGTTGAAACTGTTTTAATTTCAGTGTTCTGCTCTTTGTCTAGGTATTTTCTTAAGTTTCACTGTAATTTTTTTGTCTTCATAGATGTTTTGTGGCAGTGTTGTGTTTTTGTGTTGCTCTCTGTTGCCCCCTTGTGCCAGTCTCCTTTCCCCTATCTTCTAGTTGCTTCCATCCACACCTGCTCCTCGTCTGCTGATTAGCCCAGTCATTGTTCTGTCTCCAATTTATACTCCTGCTGTGCAGTTTCTCAGCGTTTCTTTGCTCCTCGTGTGTGTTTTACTGACGTCTCCTGGTTTTTGGTTTTCTATATTTTGTTTTTGGACTTTGCTTCTGTTGCCTTGGATCTTCATTAATCAGCAAAAACTCATCTCTGCCTCCTTCTACTCTGCGTTTGGGTCCACAACCACATCCACCACCAGTTGACACTAATTTTTAACAAGAGAATTTTAACATTTTAACCTACTTTATCCTGTTCCATGTATTAAAGTTTATCTATTCCTGTTTTCCTTCTTTAAAAAAAATGTCTAAAACTGAGTGAACTAATCTGGCTGTGATATAAAGCAGCTGATTGATATGTTATTGTGAGGTTAAGGCTTTTACAGAACTGTGCTCTCTTTAAAGGATTTAATAAACTGAGACAGTCTATTTAATTGCTTCAGTTATCTTGTAAATCCTTTTTTTAATCTGGGATAAATTATGAATGGACTTAATATCCTACTGTGAAACGGAGCATTGCCATATAATGCATAGGTTATATTAAAAACCAAATAATACGAATTTTTTGATCAGTTTCAAAAATATATTTAGATGGCTACAAGTTATTTTTTTTTTGCTTGCTCAGTTGTAGAAAAGAAGTGATTTATGGGCGGAGGACTGCGATTGAGGGCATTTCCCATCTCTGCTGATAAAGTCTCTGGTTTTAGCAGCTCCATTGGTGGGGCTTCTTTTTTATATATAATTTAGTGAAGCAATCCCCTTATCGTGCTCTCTCAGCATGTGAAGAGAGTGCTTATCTTCACGAGCCAGCAGACTGAAGCCAGTTCCCCCAGGAATGATCCCCAGACAAAGACAACCCTGGGGACACGGACTCCAAGCCTCCCTGATTCCGGCCAGCCGCCGAAGAGCCGACATCAATAACCCGACGGTGTCTTTTTTCTGCCTCGCTCCGGCCTGAGCGGCAGCGGTCAGACAAAGAGAGAGGAATGGGTTGTTTTTATTACTTTTCTCAGGAACAAAAGGAGCTGGTAGGGTGGTCAACGGAGGCTCTATTTGAGGGCGAGGTAAACAGCCGCCTAATGGTGCAGTAATGGTTCCTGAACATATTTGAGCACTGGACTGAATGGGCCGGCAGAGATAATGTGAGAACTAACAGGCTGTTTAAACCAAAGCATCTTTTAGACTGAGCTCTACTCCAGCTTCAGCTGTAAAGGTCACACTGTTGTTATCTCTCATCACAGACTGCATTTAAACCATCACCTGTGTGTTTTTCACTCTCCAGAATCAAGACTCACCAATTCGGTTTACAGATCAGAGAAAAATCGGACAAATAAACAGTTCTTGTGCAGAAACCTACAAATAAAAATCCCATTTAATGCTGAAACACCATCCAAAGCAACCATCTTTAAATGAATCCCTGACATTTAGGGTGAAAATAATTTTAGATGGATATTTAATTAATATTACAAATGGCATTATGTTGGACAATACAAATATAGATTTTTATATAAAGAATATTTTTATTTTTCAAACTGGAATTTATCAAGAAGTGATTGGATAATTATTTATCCACCAAGTTGCTACTGGATAAAGTCAACTTAGTCTTTAAAATACATTATTCTGGTGGTACTGTAACAAGTCGTTTTCTTCAATTAATGTTAGAATATTCAGATTTCTTCTGAGGGACTAACTTCAATCTGAACATATTATTTCCTCTTGTGACGATGCTGAAGTAAATGATTTGAAAGTCCTCCAGATAGCCTGTCTTTGTAGATGGATCCCTTCTCCAGCAGACCTGAATTAAATGACCAGTGAGGGAATTAAGCCAGAGTTGGCAGAAAAGTGATACATGGTTGAACCCATTGTACAGCTGCCATTTAGATCTTTTATCTACCCTTTACTCTCAGATCCCAAAAATAAACAAATCCCAGTCTTAAGTTACTGCTTCATGAAATCATTCATTACTAAAAAGAGTCTGCCTTTGTGCAATTCATGTCAATATGATAAAATATTTTTTTTTTAACAGTGTCCACTCTGGCGATGTGGCAATGAGAATAATTGTCTTGATGCCAAAAAGAGCTCAACAGATTTTACTTTCACAAGTGGAACAGTACGGCTATCACCATAGTGTTCCGCTTGATTTAAGCATATAAATTGCTTTATTATAATTCATGCAGAGCATTACAGATTTTATGGACACTGCAATGTAAGTAGAACTTTCGTGTTCTACTTACAGAAAAAAAGGATGCGTACTTCTTTTTAATGCCATATTTTTCCATGTCACACTGATTGCGTATTGAGAGGCTAAGACTAGACAGGCTGGGCAGATCTGTGCAGGTTTTTTTCACTTCTGTCTCTGTGCTACACAAAAATTAAAACTATTTTTCACAATTGACTTGGACAGATACTTCTCTTGAATTTTTTCTTTTCGGGGAGAGTGATAAATTGTGGTTTCTGTTCCTCGTTGTTTTTGTGCGGCTCAAAGTGGATCACTACTTTATCCGTTTTTTTCCCTCCTGAACTCCTATTATGGGTTAAGTATTATACACTCAAAAGTTTCAATGATAGTTTTTGCACAAGTCTGTCCCGCATGCTGTGTATGCTCTGTGTGACTCCAAAAAGTGACTCCCCATGCAATTAACAGATTTTATTGTGTATTTTCCCCCAAAGCAGCTGCGTTTTACTTTGTAACCTCGTCTTTCTTCTTGTCAGATCCACTTAAAATACACTTGGGGTATCTCAGGCGGAGCTACGCAAGCCAGCTTGCTTAAAATCGTGTTGAATGTGATCATCCCCATTGCCTTTCAATGAGCACTAAATGCCATGTCCTCGTTTGACACCCTTTTCTCTCAGATCGGACAAAAACTCGGATTCAGTGTTTTGGTTTTAGGGTTGGCTCATTATGACTGGTTAATGACTCCAAATGTAAACCCTTGAACTTGACTCAAGACTTGGGAATCAGGAATTGTGACTAGACTTAAAAGCTGCAGCATTTCAATGACCTCGGCATTGCAAAGTCAGATGTTATCTCAGAGAATTGTTTCTTGCTTGCCTGAAAGTGACTGGTTATGGACACTTTAACAACAATAACCATGTTCTCCTCTGTGTTTTGTTCATATGAACAGTGTTGAAATATTTTGCCTCTTAACACTGACGTACGGCTGACTAAATGCCAAATAAATAAAAGAACTGGTAAGAAGTCAAAGTAAGAAAGTTTTCCTTCTGTAGATCCAAGTAGAGGCTTTCATGAGCGGAGAGGTTACCCCAGCTTAAGTCTGTAACTCATAAAAATGACAAAAGTCACGGCTGCACAACTAAGCTGCTGGCCGGGCAAAGAGAAAGTAAATCTGTGATGAAGCCCAAACTCCCATGGTAACGAAAGGACCTGTAGAGATCTGGACAGGGCAGCTAGTAATGTTGCAGCCAAAAACAAAAATGCATTTATGAGAGAGAGGCAAGAAGAAATCCATTGATTGACATTCATTATAACTCCCTTTAATGTCCCTCACAGGGTTTAGAGAAAAGAAATGTGGGAAGAACGTCCGCTGGTTGGATAGGATCAAAGTTAGACTTTCAAGGTGTTGTGATGGACTAAATTAATAAGTTTTTCTGAGGAGGCCTTCCCCATCCCACGGTGCAGAACTGTATAAAATCTCCTTGAGGTTCCAAACATCTTAATACTTGAATTCCTACGGAATTAAAGCCAACGCTACTAGAAGCCTTGGAATGGTCGACTCAGAGTTCATACCTAGATCCACAATAAAAGGGATGAAAACTTCAGTCTGGACATGCAAGGCTAGTAGAGAGGAGGCATACAGTGGTGATGTCAGCTAAAGGTGCATCTACAAAGTGTTGACTCACCTGAATACAAATGCTGGCCCACTTTGGGGATTTTAATTTTAATTTGGAATTTTTTTTTCTTTCACTTCAAACTGATCCACCAGTCTATCTCATAAACTGCTAAACTGGACTTTAATTATAGTAATGGATAAAATGCTTAAATAAAAATGGCTTCCCTTAAAACAATTTTGGTCATGGACAGCATCACCGCTCTTTCTAAACCACCCAACTCCGAGTGCGTCTCCAGACCCAGAGTGGAGGCGGACAGCAGCAGAGAGCAGCGAGGCCCGACTTGCAGGTGCAGCCTCTTGGACATGCAGCAGGGCCCATGAATGGCCGATTTAGAGAAACGGCCCCCATTGGGGTCCATTCTCCAGGCCCAGGGCTAATCCCGGAGCCTAATCGGATTATGTAAATTCCTACTCCACACACACAGTTTTCTGGAAGGCTGCGTCTCTGAAACAACACTTGAAGGGTGTAAAAAAAAAAAAGAAGACAGTGACAATTGGTTAAACTGGACTTGTTATTTTATGTCATTGGAGGTTGAAAGTGGCAGCCAGGGGTGTGTGTGTATGGGGGGGCGAGTGAGAAGTGTCTGCTGAGATAGGAGTCTGTGGCCCCCATGTTTCCTCTGTAATTTATGTGCGGCCCCTTGGAATCGCTCAACAAGATTACCATAGTCATAACAAAACACATATTGTTCGACTGTCAATCTGCATGTGGTATTTTTACCTTTTGTGGCCCAATCAGTGTGAATTTAAAAGCAGAGCTGCAGGTCTTTCCTCTTGGTCCAGGGGACGGTGGGCTGTCCATGTCTAATGTCAGAGGAACAGAAAGGAATAAGTGTCCATAACAGTAAAGGAACAGTCAGAACGTCTCAGTTTCACATCAATAGGACATTTCTTAACTTCAGAGGGATCATTTAGGGATTAATTTACCAGTGAATCATACAAGCAGCACAAACAATCTTCTAAAAGTTTTTTTAGGTCAGAAAGCTGCAAAAAAAGGAAAGATAATAAATACATAATAAAAAGGCCTTATTTTAATAATTTTAAAAATGAAGCACAAAAGCATGAGAACATTAAAACCCTTCAAGAGTCGTGACCTCTGATGAGCAACATCAATAAGTCACATCTATTTATTTAAAATAATAGAAAGTGAAGGGGGGGGGGGTTACTCTGCAACAATCACAATGAAGACAGGGGCTCCACGACGTCACACACTGGAGCTCGCCTTGCTATAAAATGCAGGATGCGAGCAGACAGCAGGCTCACCCCTGCTCCCTGCATCCCTCCCTGTCCGTGTCTTCTTCCCTCTCACTCCACCGGATCCTGGTGCGGATAAGGAGATTTAACTAAAGGAGACCCGGACACCCATGACCTGTGGAGGAGCACTCTGGCTTCTGAGATTTCTGCACATTTCTACACAAACAGGTCAGATATTTATTATTTTATTAAAGAAGTCCTCATGCTGCCAGTTAAGTCAATGAGGAATTTATTAACAAGTGGGGAGAAAATATAGAAGAAGCATGTTCCTCCTCTATATAGGAGTCATTTATAGAAAGGGGGAAAAAAATCACTTAAGATAAATTTTATTTTTTCATTCATTTCTTTGCAAAAAAAACAAAAAAATTATTTCTTTATTATTCTGAATTAAAAATAACGAATACATAATGAATATTGTAGCCTTATTACTCTTGTATAACATGTGTGCCTCATATTACCAAAACAATCAGGATTACATAATGCCTATAAAGCTTTACACAGTTGTCTGGTGCTGAACGAGACAAGAAAGTGTTGTTTAAAACGTAAAAATAAAATTTAATACAGACTTTGATTAATTCTGTTTATTTATAACTAAGATCAGATGTAATGGGTTATAGTTCAAATTGAATGTGTCATTATTCTTAGGATGATATTTGTTGTAAACTATATGAGTGAATTTTTAATTCAATTGAATATATTCAGATATTTTTGAAATAAATTTGATCTAAATGCACTTTACATGAAACACGGACATAATTCATTCTCTGTGATAGAAGGTAATTTATAAGGTAATTTATGCTGATGTAATCATAAGAACAAATAAACACTACAACAAAAGAAAAGTCTAATTCTGTTTATAATGTCATGGGGTCAAAGGTCTTTTTTTTTAAATGAAGTGCAAAATTTAAAAAAATAAATTTAAAATAAACCCTCTAAATTTGAAGAAAATGTTTGCATAAAGTTTACAGACTTTAGAGGCCTGTAATTTTTCAGCTGATAAACTCACTTATATTTACCTGTCTTTTATTGTTCTCAGCATTATGACCAGGAAGGTGTTCACCAACACGAGGGAGCGCTGGCGCCAACACAATGTCAACACTGCCTTTGCAGAGCTCCGCAAGCTCATCCCCACCCATCCTCCTGAGAAGAAACTGAGCAAGAACGAGATCCTGCGCCTGGCGATGCGCTACATCAACTTCCTAGTGCAGCTGCTGGAGAGCCAGAGTGGCCAGCCGGCCAGCCACTCCTCCACCGCCCTGCTCACCTTCCTGAAAGGGAACATGGAGCGGCTGCACTCGCCTCCCCATCCCTGGACCACGACGAGTGACACCGAGGCTCCATCGCCGGGCTCCAGCTGTGAAAGCTCTGAGCCCTGGTAGAGCCACATCTGGACAGGAGAACAAGAAGATAGAGCAGATTGTGTTGTGGACCCCAACATGGCTGATGAGAAGGGTGAAAAAGAGTTTGTTTTATGCATCAAAGTAAACCATATTCCCTTCATGTCTCCATGATATCATTCCTTGTTTTTTTGGAACCGATTTAAAAACGAAGGAAGCGGCATTCCATCTTTTCCTGATGAGGATAATGAAGGAATGGAGGATTATGGATTTTCAAAACAACTAAACCTGATCTTTTGACTCATTTATTAAGGTTGGCTTCAGAGAAACCATTTTTCTTTTTTTCTTCATAATTCAGAAGCTTATTTCTAATGTTTGGGTCAAACTGACAATCTAATTTCAGTGATTCCTTGCAGATACATTTTGTTTTGTTGGTTTTCTGTAAAACATGCATGTGATATGGCCAAAGATACTGATCAGATTGTCAGCTGTGATAAGTGTGTTAATTATCTATCTTATGCCTCTTTACTAATTTATTTTGTTCTTCTTGTGAATGTCTTATTTATTTTACTATTTATTCAATAAAAAATTTGTAAATAATTAAATTTTTTGTGTATTTATGGGAGCCCCCTTACTTCCCTGTAGAGGGTCTTTTTGTTCACAAATTGTAAACCCAAATCTACCTTTGTCCCCAGTAGAAATTGTTACCTCTACATTAATGTTGAATTGAATATTGAATTGAATATTTGAGGCATGTCGACTGAAGACTTCTCACCATCTAGAAAAAGAAATAAATTCAGTTCGGAATATCCTGCTGACCCCTGGAAACATTAGGTCAATCCCTTTGAGCTCCATTCGGGATGAGGACAGGATTAATCCCAGGTTCATCAGACACTTCTGTCATAACTGCTTCCAGGAAAATCAGTCTATAGATCCTGCTGACATTCACCCAGTCAGAACTTTATTTATCATTGCAAAGATGAGAACAAGACAATCGTAGCACACAGCTCGATATTCTGCCCTTTTCCGATCTAGAAAAGGTTTCTCTCACTGACTTAAAGCCTGAAAAACAAACTGTTAATCGAAACAAGTTATAGACAATTGAGGAGAATAGTAAATGTTGAATTAAGGAGTCTGACTTGTTATGGGAATAATTATTTTCTGTCCCAAACAAATAGTAAACGACTGCTCTGAATCATACATTGTGCCCTTGCAGGTGTAAAGACTTGAGTGAACATGTTTATAAAGTAAGTAAAAGCAAAATCAGCACTAATAAATCACTATATGTAAGGGGAATTAAAAGAAAATGTAATTTTTCCACCACAGAAACAATCTAAGATAATGTTGGTAGTTTTCTTAACAAAATTCAACACTTTTCCAGATCATTTTCAGATTTTTTTTCTGAGCTGCCAAATTGACTTTCTCAATTCCATTTTAATGTAGTGAAAAAATGGATTCAGATCTTTAAAGTATAGTTTAAGGTCATTCCTCTGCAACCAGTTCTGGAAAAGACTCTACTAAAGTGAAAACGGATTCTCCACCCCTCTGCTTAGAAATCGTTAGTAAGGCTTGACAAAAATGTCAGTCGGGTTTTGGTTATTTAACCACATTATGAATCGCAGATGAAGTTTAACTTCAAGTATTTGTACAGTTCAGTAGAAATTCAGTAGAAACTTAGTTAAAATTTAGTTAAAATGTTAGAACTGTAAATATAAAGTGATATGTTTATATTACTGTTTTTATGTATTTTTTAATGTTTTCAAGGCTGCACTTTAAAAAAATTAAATTGTCTGGAGAGCTGTTCTTACCGAAATGTCTTTTTGTTTACATTCGTGTACACAAAATGACAAAATAAATCTGTCTAACTCTAAATGGCTTTGTGCGTCTATACTGTCACTAAGTCAAAATAACAAAAACTGAAGAAACTAACTATTCATTTTCGTTTCCTTGTATGAACTTACAACATGTGATAATCCCAATGTGTTTTACACAGATAATCATATCATAGTCATACTGGTAAAATGTTCTATCTAAGGAAAACCAGCTGATTACACTGCTGAGTCATTAACTTTGCTGGATGCGCCCCTCCTGGATGAGCATGTGTTGACAGTAGATATTTACTTGCATTGTATCGTTTCTGTAGATATTTCTGTGCCATTTTATTTAAAAAAGTCTAATTTATTTTCCTATTCAATTATTTCCCGTATTGAGGCAGTCGTAAAACAAATCGTAAAAGCAATTCTAAAACCTTAAAACAGCAAAGGAACCCTGTAATAGTAAAATCTTCTTTTTAAACAGGAGATGTACAATGAATTTATTTTTTACGTATGGGCTGGTTATACCGCCCGCAGCAGTGTGTTGCAGTGAGTTTGTCGCAGGTATGACGCAGACATTTATGATTTATGCTCAATTTTGAAGTGTGGTGTGCGCTGTTATTCCACGCCACAACGCAGAGGAACAATCACAAATTAGCTGTGGGTCTAGATACGGTTGAGGCGGTGAGGAAGTGGGGGCAAGTTTGTCCGACAACGGAAGGACATGAGGGCGAAAAAGAGCGGGGATCCAGGTGGAAAACGGGTCGCAGCATTCTCACGCACTTCGTTCTTCTAGCTGGTCCATCTTCACAAGTCGTTTTCACAAGCTGGTAAGGTACCAAACATGAAATATGCATGAGTAGAGTGGATGTAGATTTGACCAATCAGAGGCCTCCTGTCTGCAGCGCTGTCTGCAGTCACCTACAATTTTGGTACAGCAGAGCATCTGCGGAGGGGACGGGGACGTCTCTGTGTTCACCGCCACACCTACACAGATGACCTAGTTTCAAAGTATAATTCAGCCTTTATTTCTTATCAAGAACAAAATGAAAATGGGCATAATCAGATGATCATGAATTTTTATAAAGTTTAGATGCAAATTAAAACTGGAAGACTCGTCCCAGCATCACCTGCATTTAGTCAGCTCACCATGCGCCTCTGCTCCGGCCAATCACTGTCAAGCTCTCATTCCTCTTCAGCCAGCCGTCCGGTAAGGGTCTGCTTAAAGCTGTCCATTCACAGACTGCCCTGGTCTTCAGCTGAGCTTCAACCCATCTCCTCCATCATGCTCTCTAGCTCCTTCTGGCTTCTTCTCCATCACCAGTGTCTGGATTCTGGGGGAAGACATATCTAATCTTAATCTCATAATGATCATCTAAACTCATCCCATTCGCAAATTCCATGTCTTCTGCCGGTGTCAGAGCACCAAAGAACAGTCAGATTCATTGATACATATCTCTAATTGCCACTCAAAGTGTTAAAAATGGATTGGGTTTATTTTAGAGTTTTTTGGGAGCTTGGGATACATTCAAAAAGGAAAAAATGGATCTTATTTCATAAAAATGACCCAAGCCACAAGAAAAAACTTTAACTTCACACTATTGATGAGTGATTAGAGAAGCAGAGCTGCTGCTTCTTTGTACCAACAAAGCTAAGAGAGGTATGTTTCTTTGCAGCCGCGGAGATGACCATGTGGACACAAAGCTGACCTCTGCTCTTTGTCCGCTGACCAGAGGCCTGGGAGAGGAGCGGCTCAATGTGCCCGCTTAACTTGCAACCCCTGAGGTCAGAGGTTGCTCTGAAGTCAAACGCTGTCCAGCTGATCAGTGTAAAGACAACATTGTTAGAGGGAAGGTTTGGCAGGGCTGACATTATATATACTGACCCAGAATGAAGGAATTCATGGGATGATCAACACCATCCTCTTTGACAAAGATTAATTCCCTTCAGTTTGAATGTCTTAAAATGATCCATAAATAATGAGTAAAAGTGAAAAGCTTTTATTCCAATTATATATTTCACATTCATTAAGCCCTAGACTTTTCCATGAGCCTTTTACAGAATTGCCAAGACATGTTTGCAATAAAACAAACAAAGGACTGCTAAAACTAACATTTGTAATTGGGAGAACCTAATCTCTCTTTCTGAAACATTGTTTGCAGACTTTACGGCTAACATCAGACGTGTTCACAGTTGTCTTCTTTCAGGTTTATTGAAGCCGTTGTCGGACATTTAAATGCTTAAATGTCTGTATTGACCCTGTGTCCCATCTTTGGGCTAAAGATTGTTCCTCACTGAGCTGAAGAGTAAACAGTGATCTGACTCAGGGAGCTTTAAACGAGGGCGTTAAACTCTGACTAAAGGGATGTAAACGAAGCCGAGTGCAGCTGGAAGCCTGTGGGAAATGACAGGTGACTCTTTGTAATGATGCTCAAAATAAAATAATGTAGAGGATACAGAGGATACGGCACAGGAGCTGTCAGATCAGCCCACAGAATGGGTTTAAGGAGTATTTGCTTTTTGTGTAATTTCACTGCACATTGATACATTTTAAGTAAATAAAAATAAAAAGAAATATTGGAAGAACTAGTTGATATGTCCTTTTCCTTATAATTTTGTTCACAATGTTAGCAACTGCACCTCTGTGTAAGCCAAGAGGAATCCTGAGAAGTGGAATCCATTGGGAGCCAATATTAAATCTGAACTAGAGAGAAATGCTGTCATGGTAGAAAATGTTCTTCGTTAAACGAAGCCAACAAATCATGTCTGAATGTCACTTTTTTTTCTGCACAGTTAGAAAAACAGAAAATAATAACAAATCTGCATGCCTCTCACTCCCTCCTCCGAGTGCATTTTCCTGATTGACTATTCCGTCCCAAGCATGTGGGTAATCGTCTATTGAGAGCACATTTCCTTATCAGCGTCTAGCACGCTGTCTGAATCCGTTATCACAATGGAGCAGATCAGTGCAGGCAGCCCCTCTCTCTCCCGGCTGAGGCGCTCCATAAAAAGAGAATTTCTGGAGTTGGGTGCCAGCCGATAGGCCCTGAGCTCTTTATCCCCTTAAAGCCAATTCACCCTTTGCATGTTTAAATATCTCAGCTCAACCCCTGCCCTTCCTCTCCCATCACAGCACTCGAGCCCCCCTGCCTCCTCCTTCTCCTCCTCGTGCTCCTTCACCCCTCAGCGGCTGCAGAGGTCCAGGCCTAAACTGCTGGTGTAATCGACCTGCGATGTGGAAGCAGATGCAGGTGCAGAGCTGGATGGCTGCTGAGGGGAGGGGAGTCCTCCATTGTTGGGCTGGACAGCACCCTCTCTCTTCTGGAGCACCCTCTGATAGAAGGAGGGGGTGCACATAGACAATCCCGTATCCTAA